TTATCTAGATAAAGTAAAGTAAATATAAATTTTCTTTGGCATTGTATGACTTTGTAGAGAAGAGAAGCAAATGTGTCAAATATTTAGGAAAAACTTTTAGGCCATTTAGGCTTACTTTGTAGAAACAGAATTAGAAACATTTGTATTTACAGTAACTATTTGGATACTACATAAATACACTAGCCTGGTTCAAAAAAAAATCTACTATCTTTTTTTCAAAATCCCCTGTGAAATATTTTCGGGATAGTGAAAAAAGACGAATGTCAAAAGCGCAGCCCTTTTTATTAAGATTTAGAGGTCACTCATCGCGAATTGCTATTTGCCATAGAAATAACACGAATAAATTGTTTCATTCGTTAAGTTTTTTAAAAATCTAAATAAAAATATGACGTTTTTTCATGATTTAATTTTTTAATTTTTTAGGTATGCAGTTTTGTAGTGCATTCAAATTTAGTATAACAAAGTGCAAGCTTAAGTGGATACAAAGTACCGTTAATTTTTGGCGTTTTTTTTTTCTTTTGTTGACGGTCTTGTGTATTTTACTCCATATAAAAAATTTTTGACTTTAATCTTGAATAAGTTTTGGAGGAGTAAATTTATGGAAAACTCATTTTAATACGACTTTCTATTTCCTTGAAAAATATATATCGCTCATTTTGATACGTTGACTGGCAAACGAGTTATGAAATTTGAAAATTGGATGTGTTGGTGAAAAAATATGTGTTAGTTACACCGACATGATTCTGGCATGACTCTAAATGACTCAACTGTGTGTAGTCGAAAGGCGAGTCCACACGTACACAGGTGACTCACGAGTCAGACGCACCGTCTATGGCGGCTATATGGAAAGTAGAAATTTGCGTCGGCTGCTGTGGTGTAGTGGTAAGCAGTGCGCGGTTCCACTCCGCAGCACCGGGGTTCAAACCCTGGTCAAAGCAACATCTCAAAAAATATAGAAAAAAGGTTTTTCTTAACAGCGGTCGTCCCTCGGCAGGCAATGGCAAACCTCCGAGTGTTTTTTCTGCCATGAAAAACAGCTTCTCATAAAAATACAATCGCCGTTCGGAGTCGGCGTAAAACTGTAGGCCCCTGCGCTTTGTGTGACAACATCAAAGCGCACGCCACAATTCGGAGGAGAAGCTCGGCCAAACACTAACATATGTGTAATCGCCAATCTATTATTATATTAAAGATTTCAAGGTGGCTTTTAAAAGAAAAACGATTGTCGAGGTATGGAACCGTCCAAATATTAAACAAATTTTGTTTTTTTCATTTTAGTATTTTTTTATAAAAATATTATTTATCGTTCAACAAAAACCGTGTAAATTCAAGATTAAACTATGTGAAATATGTAGTAAGACAAAAAAGGTTCAACAAACAAACAAATTGATTATATTTCAAGTCATTCACCAAAATAAGTTTTTCGGACCAATATTACGATTTACGTGAGTTGGACCTAATTGAAAATACAGTATATTTTGCTTAGCTGCACATCCTTCTATGCACGAAAAACTTGTGCACTTAACCGAAAAAGGCACTTAAACGAAT